AGATGAGCCCTGTCGGTTGGATGGTACTGAAAACCCATACTGGCTGCAATAATGGAATTGAGCATAGCAAGGAATGAGCGTGAAGATGGCACAGGAGTGGGCAGTCTTGCATTCTATTGTGCATGGGGCCACCATGAGTCAGAGCCAACTCCACAGCAACTGGTAACAATGAGGGGCCTTCCAAAAGTGCCTGAACAAACAAAATGAAAAGATAATGGAACTCCTCATACTTTTAAAAATTATATGTAAATTATTTCTTCCTTTGAGTCTTTCTTACTCAGCTGCCATTCATGAGGATCAAGAACTCTCTTGCTCAGTTTTCTTTGTTTTTGTCCCTGGTACCGAGCTCCTTTCCTGGCACACACGAGGGACCTCATAAATGTTTGTTGAATAAAATTAAACAAAGCACACTGCATTTTTGTACCCCATGTCTCAGTTTCTTACCAATTAAACAGTGCTGAGACACACGCTCCTTTATACGTCAAAGTGCAAAGGAGGAAGAGGAGAGGGATGCAATGAGTTAAGGGCAGCTCTCTTTGCAAATGCACCAGTAAGTTTCACTAGTGACATGAAGTGCTACCATCTAATGAATATCCTCACAGCCACCTCCCACATTCTAGAAGTGTGGGGCTCCTTCTAGAGTGCGGGGCCAGAAAACACAGCTGTTCTGCTAGGTGGAGTTTTTGCAGGGGCTGCTTCGGAGTCCCCAAGGGAACCCTTGTGAAATCTGAACTCTCCTAAGAGGAAAGATGCTTTGGAAAAAGTCCTAAGTATTTTTAGTAATTACAAAAAAAAATTATGCTCAGAGGCAAACTGCCAAGAAGAAACAGAAATTGATCTCATCCTTCATGATCAAGCCAGGAAACTTGTGATCGATCGAGTCTTTTGTGTTTTGGTCAGAATGCAAATACCTAACGGTCCCTTCTCCAAAGAACATGAGAGAAAGAAGCAGCTCCTCCTTCCACAGCTATGAGCAGGTTCACAGTAACCAAGAGCTGATGAATCCAGCCAAGACTCACATTCACTCCATCCAGATTAGGTACTCACAAAAAAACAGTGTTCACTTCTTGCTCTCAATTTCAATTAACAATAGTGAAGGTAACTACCTCAGTGGAGACCCAAGGCAGAGAATGAAACATGTAACAGTCAGCTCTTAGTTATCAGTACTAATCAGGGACAGGAAAACATGAATAATTCAAAAGAACCACCATCAAAAATATAAAACCCTAACTCTTACTTTAAGCAATACTCTTCCCTCATTAAGCATTTTATTAGAGTTACTGGTGTGACTCGACTTGGCTATCCTCCCACAGTTGGGTAAGCCCCAGGTCAGGAAGCCCTTTATCCTGGCCTCTCTCTGCAGCTGGTTCAGAGACCTCACAGACCCACACAACCGAGGGCAGCACCTGAAGTGTGTCTCACTCCTCTTTGCACTCTTTGTGTTTAGCACATCTGAGTCACAAATGGCTGTGTAATTGACCTGAAATGATTTCTTAACAGACTTATGCTCTAGTTCCAGCTTGTGTTCTAACAAAGAAAACCTGGATGGCCTTCTCATGAGAACAGGGAGGAAGGGGACTGGATAATGTGTAGTAGCTCCTGAGTGCCACCAGATTGCACATCTCTAGAGAACACTACTCACAGGTCATCCTTGACAGAAAACACAGCAGGAGTGCCTCCCCTGGAAATGTGTGACTGGCAGCTACAGCTCTCTTGCAGTTCTGTAAATCAGTAAAAGTCACAACACAAAAGAAGGCAACATGTACACAGCCTATTTACTCATTACTCAAATACTAAGTGCCTACAAAAGTAGAAATAACCGACCTGCCTACAAAGACCTTACTAGTGAGTTGAGGAATTTAGACATATAATGAAAAGGTAACAACAAAAGCACTCAGGCACATGATTGTTGTCAAATTACAGGACAGCCAATATACACTAGGAGACTCAGAAGGGTGGGTGATCATGGGTAGGAGAGGCCAGACTTAGGAAGGGAGTGAAGCCTGAAACCAGTACCAGACGACCAGTTATGCTGACAGCAATCTCCACTCAGGCATGGCAGTGGAAGTAAATCACAATTAGGGTTTGAGAACCTGAACTAACGAATTTCAATATCACCTCCTACTTCTCTTCCTGAAGTTGACTGTAGACAGTGGCAGGTCACAAGTGGAGCAGCATGTGAAGCAAAAAATCAAAATCAAAATCTCTGTAAGCAGCATACTGAATGAATGCCAGGTGGCTACTCAGATTTAGGCCAAGCTCAGATTGGTATGTGGGACACTCACATTTGTCAGTTTGGAAGCCTGTATTTATTCATGTATTTGCATATTTGCAAATGCTTTATTTGAACTTTATAAACAGACACCCTCAGGCCACCTTTACAAAGAGAGGCGCACTTGGTCTTCCATAATCCCCAAAGTCTACCTCCTCAGTGATTTTAAATTATCTGCAGAGGGCACGGCAATTTTCTGGCAGCAGACTCATCTTCCAGATCCTGTTTTTGGTCCACTCGAACAGCAATGACGCTGCATTCCCTGAGCACATATGAACCGACAGATGGTGTAACAGGACTAGAAGCATTCTAACTACTCTGAAGAAGCCAACTTGGAATGCAAATGTAACCTGCAGTGAAGTTAACAAGAAAAATTGAGAATTGGTTCTAAAAGCTGAATGCAGTACAAAGAATGAAATATATTCCTAGGAAGCCACGCGATGGTCCTGTTCTGCATTTCACAGATAATACTGTCCCACCAATGAACTCCTGGCATGGCACTGTAGGATCAGCACTGGACTAGGAACCACAAGGTTGCCAGTTCAAATCTACCAGCTGCCCTCAGAAACTCTGTACAAGGTCGCTATGAGCTGGAATCGAGCAGGAGACACTTAGCAACAACAACAGCAGTGTCTCACCAAGAGGAGCCCTGGTGGTATCGTAGTACAAACACACATGCTGTTGTGTGGGAGAAAGATGTGGCAGTTTGCTTCCATCATTCTATACAGCTCCAGGTGAGTCAGAATCAACTAGACAGCAAAGGATTTGATTGGAGTGTCCCACAATAGACTCGCTTACATGTCTACCTTACCACTAGAGTGCAGAGTCTTCGAGGATAGAAGACAACAGCTTAATTGCTTTTTGATATATAGCAGCAGTGTGGTTGGCTCCCAGCTCACGGCACCCCCCAGGCATAATGGAACTCAAGGCTGCCTGACTCCACACTATCCCCCCAAGATCAGTTGCCACTCTGAATATAGAGTATTGCATACAAACAGCACCACCTCTGACTCCTAGCTGCCCGGCATCATACAAAGAATCGAACAGCCAGGTGGAACACAAAGCACACCTGCTTCTCAGTGCTGCTTGTGGTCAGGCTGCTTGGCATATGTCAAATTAACAAGGGTAAGAAAAATTAAAGAAGAAAAAAAAAAGCTGCTAAATTTCCTTTTTCAAACCACCCATCTCTGTCTTACTGCTCTGTATTACTCCTAAAAGGAGCAACAAAATGGAATGTTTTTTCTGCCTATGTTAACAAGATAGTTTACCCACCACCATCAGTGACCCAGCTGCTGGGTTCGCTGAAAATCAGAAAAAATTGAGGACCCTTCTGCTCCTGCCTAACAGTACACCAATGACTCAGTTGCCACTGAGTCGATTCCAACTCATGGGGATCCCATGTCTGTCAGAGCAGAATTCTGCTCCATAGAGTTTTCAATGACTGATGTTCAGAAGCAGATTGCCAACTTTTTCTTCTGAGGTGACTCTGGGTAGACTTGAACCCCCAACCTTCCAGTTAGCAGCCAAGTGCCTCGGCCATTTGCTCAGACAAAGGACTTAAGAGAGCAGGTGTTACAAGCCTTTGACATGTTTGATTTTCAGAGCAACATACTGCAAAGAGGACTGAACACAATCTACAGGTTTGAATACCAGACCTACCTCTGTCACTGATGAATCGGAAGACCTAGGCCAGTTACTTTGACTTACCCAGGCTTTAGTTTTCTCATCTGTAAAAGAAGCAATTAGCCCCAAGTGTCCCATCCAGCTGTAACTCTTTGAGAACTCACCAAACCTAAGTTAATGGGATACCAAGTCACAATCTTTCTGTTGGTTCTATGAGTACATTTCTATAGGTGTGAGTTACACACGAAATAAGGAGTCTCTCTTTTCAACAGTTAGGGTTTATTTTACAGTTATATATTGTTGCTGTTGCTAATGTCCCATCAAGTTAGTTCTGACTCATATAAACCCTGTGTACACATTTTTTCACATCGATGAAATTAATCTTTTCATTTGATCCTCACAATAGCCCTTTGAGAAAAGGAGGATAGGTTATAATTCCTATTTTATAAATCTGGAAAATTTCAGTAATTTCCTGAGTTCCAAAATCATGCTAATATTTTGGGGCAGAAACTGAAGCCTAGTATTATAAAATCTACTTATAATCACGAACTTAAATTTCTGGGTAGACAGTGTGATGTTAAAAGACAAAACTGACCAGCTACCATTACTGAGTGTTTTAATCAAAGATTCTATAGAAGAATCCTGACCAAAAGAGCAAAATTACAGAACAAAATTTCAAATTCTCATGGACTCCGGACTTTCTAGAGCCAGGATTACTGTATGAACCTCCAAGCCTACTACCCTAAGATAATCTTTAAACTTAAAACCAAAAACATTTCCCTGAAAGCTTCCTAAAAGCAAACACCAGTTTAGCTTAACTAGCAAAATACATCTACCTTGAGCATCAAGCTCTTTTAAGAACTATAATAGATCAAAGTGCCAACAGCAACTCACAAGATTAGATCGGAACCTTTGAGGGCAGTGAGTCTGTGTTACTAGAAGAGGAACAAACTCAGAAATGGAAGTTGAGAATGTAATCAATGTCACTAAAGGGAACGTGTAGCAATTATTAAATTGGTATATGTTCTGTATGCATAGTCTCAACAACAACTACTAAAATAAAGTTAAAGCAGAAACAGGAAAATGCTAAATCAAAGATACTTACTTCAGTTCATTGGTTTCCATCCCCTGGGCAATAGCCACGATGATGCCGCCATGGTCACCCCAGGTATAATAGTGAGGTCCAGGGAGTGCCTAAAGAGGAGAAGCCAACAATGAAGGCACTGCTGGGGAACCACTGGGCAAGAGCCACACACAGACACACACACACATATGCCTGGCGGTTATGCCAACCACATGAAAACCACTGTTCGGTTTCCAAGTACAGTCACATCCCTTATCTCATCTGCTTCATGGAACCCTAGGGGTAAGTAGAGCAAGTTCTTGTATCCCAACTGTCTTTCCAGAATACTCATAATTCACAATGTTGTACAGAACATGGAAACACTGAATGGTTTAAAATTAAGACAGGTATGCAACAAGGTTGTACTCTTTCATCATACTTATTCATAATTATTGTATGCTGAGCAAATAATCCGATAAACTGGGTTCTATGAAGAAAAACGTGCCATCAGGATTGAAGAAAGACTCATTAACAACCTGCAATATGCAGATGATACAACCTTGCTTGCTGAAAGTGAAGAGGACTTAAAACATTTACTGATAAAGATCAGAGAGCACAGTCTTTCGGTATGAATGACATCTCAATGTAAAGAAAACAAAAATCCTCACCACTGGACCAATAAACAACATTCTTATCA